TACCTGATGCTCCTTTCACGTTAAACGGAACGAATATCTCCGAATGCTCTAGCTATGTGTATCTAAGTCGGGAAGTCAACATGATCAACGACCTAGCTCCAGAGCTGTGCAGAAGGAAACGCGCCGCGTGGGGAGCATTTAAGAATATTGTGGGAGTAGTGAAGAAGACAAAGAACATCCGGCTCCGCGCTCACCTTTTCGACACTGCTGTCCTAAGCTTTGACGTACGCCTCGGAGACCTGGACTCTACGAAAGCAGGATGAGCATGCTGTCAGCGTTACTCAACGCGCTTTGGAAAGGACGATGCTCGGAATTTCCATATACACGCAAGTGCAGAAGAGAATCCGGAGTTCCGAGCTCCGTCACCGAACGAAGATCAGGGATGCCGTTGATTACGCCAAGAAATCGAAGATCAGGTGGGCCGGACACGTTATGCGATATAGTGTTGACCGTTGGACCAGGGCGGTTACTGACTGGATCCCTCGGGACTTCAAACGAACTCCAGGAAGGCCGCCAACGAGATGGTCAGACTTCTTCACGAAAGCTCTGAACGAAAGGAATGTAGAACTTCGAGTCCCTGAAGCGAGAACGATTCACTGGACCACTCTGGCTCGTGACAGGGACGAATGGAGACGTTACTGGCGCCCGCTCGAAGAAGTCGATGATCAACGGGACGGCAGGTGATACAGGTGATACTGTCGCCCTATAACTTCATATCAATTTGCTCGGAGTTCGAAATGAAGATCGTGTGAACGATCAATCACACAACAAAGCGACGTGAACAAAATTGAGTCAATCTGAAGCGATTCCGGACAGGAGTGTTACACTCGCTTCCAACTTTGCTCACTTTCATGCCCTCCTTAGCTGCCATGTATAATTCACCTAGCTTTCGTTGTCTTCTTCTGCTCTGCTCTTCTCTGTTTCCATTTTTAGAATGCTTTTCATGAGGAAGGCAGAATTCCAGTCCCAGCACCTCCCACTTTGATGCCCTTTAAACAATTATAGCTGGATATGTTCTCGATCTTCGTCAGTCCAAATATGTCGTCTCACTTAGTTTAGCTTTGCGTATTTTTACTTACAAAAGGTGTGGCTCAACTCAATTCACAGTCAGTTCAGGTGACATGGCTGCTTATTTCAACTCAATCAATTGCACCGTGTAGGCGCGGTGAGCGGCGGTGTTTTCTGAGATCTTCTCATTTCGCTTATCACAATCTTGTTTTTTTTGTCTCAAAGTTTACCAAATTCACTTCTTCATAGCCTTGTTTTCTTTATTCGTGTCTTTCCTATCGCAATCAGTCCCGTTTCGCTTTTTGTGGTGCTGTTTTTCAGGTGTGCTATTTGTGGCTTTGGTCGTGTCTCACTTTTGTGTATTGGTTGGGCCATATTGGCTTCCCAGCAGATCAGCCATGGTTTGCACCAGAAGTAACAAAGGATACCACGATTCAGCTGCTGAATTCAATCCTGAAAGAACCAGTGATTTAGCTGCTGGATCTAGATCCGTACCAAATCCCAATGTAAGCGCTAATGATGTCACATCTGAATGCGACTTCAACAAATTGACCGCCAATGATCTCGTTTTGCGCATCATCGAAATCAACAGAGATCCTATAATTGCTAGAATGCCCGCTGCGCTCTTCGAAAATATACCTAAAGAATGCGCGTATTTCGTTGAACAAGAAAGGCGTTCTCGTAGCATCGTGATAGCCGGGCTAAAGGAAAATGAAGCAAGTTCATGGCCATTCGCTCGCCAGCACGAACTCGAGAGGAAAGTTTTCGATGTCTTGGATGCCTTAGACGTAGAGTGTAGACCTTGTAAAGGTTTTCGTATAGGTAAAGCTGTCCCCTCTAGACCTCGACTAATTAAGGTAGTACTTCCTACTTGGTTTTATTGGCGGAGATTGTTAGCCAACTCGCGCAATCTTCGACATTCCGGCTTTCCTGACGTATTTTTTAGAAGGAGCATGACTTTGGAGAAAAGGAAAAAAGACTTTGAACCAAGACAGCTGGCTAGGAACAGGGACCAAGGTAAGAGTACCAGAGAATGGATTGTCTATCACGGTGAGCTATATATATTTCTGAGTTGACCAATAGAAATCAGTTCGAATGCACCCGGCAATAAACAGGTAAACGCGTAGCTGCGTGCCTCACTGTCTTGCTTACTGACAAATTGTCGCAGCCTAGTAAATAAAACCATGAATCTCCAACTGCTAATTGCTGGAAGGAAACCCGATGTGACCCTTCTAACAGAGACATGGCTCAATTCCAGAATTGTAGATCCCGAGATTTTGGGCAACTTGATATCCTTAACACATGGTGTATCGAATTAAAGCCAAGGGTGGAGGAGTCTGCTGCATTTTTAGAGACAATCTGTTCATGCATGTTATTGTTAATGATTTTTGTTAGAAAGCGGATATACTATGCATTGAATTAGTACGTTTTGTATAAGATTTGTAATCGTATATCGTCCCCCAAACTCAGTTAATGAAAATGATGTCGACCTCATTGATACTGACTACCTTCGCCCTTTTCAGAGAGAGTACTGGCATTTTGGGTGATTTCAACCCTTTCAACCTTGACTGGGATAATTTCACTGCCTACAGAGCTACTACTAACGATTTTCTCACATTTCTCACCCATTCCGGCTTCAGCCAATTGGTACGACACCCTACTCATGTAGGTAACATTCTTGATCTAATTTTCGCTTCCTCCCCTGTATTACGCAATGTAATAATTAATACTCCTTCAGGGACGTCTGATCACTCAGCTGTTTCATTCCTAGTGGACATAGTTCTTTCGCGATTTCCCACATGCTTACCCAGACCCGACTTTTTTTTTGGAACTGACTTTGACGCATTGAATCGTGCTTCAGTAAGGTTGACTGGTTACAGACTTTCGATGGATATGCCTCGGCGTCTGATTTGTGTCGTCGGTTTTACTTGGTAATCTATGATAAGCTGGCCTCTCACGTGCCATTTGAATATCATGGCCCATCCTGTCCCAGATTCCCTGCTCATATACGCAACTTACTTCCGCAAAAGCAGCGCATCTTCGATAACGCTGTCAATCCGTTGATTGTCGTTCGCTACAAGAAAGTTTGCCGTGATATCAACTGTCATCTCAAGAAATTCTGGGACCACTATGAGCGTCGTTTGGCTCCACAGTCTCCCGCAAAACATCTTTATGGGTATATAAGAAACAAAATGAAAGGTGACCCCCGTCTACCGGTTGTAGTTGATGTCAATGGATGCAAACATTTTACTGATGAAGGCAGAGTAATCGCGCTTGGTGATTTCTTTGCAAGCGTTTTCTCAAACTCTAGTGATACCGTGGGGGTGCGTACTATGTCTGAGTTTTCTCCGCATTACACCTGAGACAGTATCTGCTTTCACCCCTCCGACATTTATAAACTACTGAGATGCCTAAAGCCGTCCGCCACTGAACCTTACGACGGTGATCCTCCTGTGGTTTTTAAACGATGTGCCTCATCACTCGCTACGCCACTAGCACACATCTTTAATGTCTCCTTTGCGTTGGGTGAAGTGCCTGAAGTTTGAAAGGAAGCGCTAGTCACTGCCATTCCAAAAGCTCCTGACGTTCATTGGGTCTCTGAATTTCGTCCCATAAGTATTACATCGACGTTGATCAAAATTATGAAGAAAATTGTTAGAGCGAATTTGTTGTCCTGGTGCGACAAGTTTAAACCTATACCTCCTGTACAACATGGTTTTCTTAATGGTGCGAGCACTACCACTAATCTTGTCGATAGTCTATTTGACTGGCATCTTGCACTAAACCAAGGGAAATCCATCGAAGTTATTTATGTTGACCTGATCAAAGTGTTTGACAGGGTCAATCATTGTGAATTGATTTGTAAACTCGAAACCCTCGGTATAAGCGGTTGCTTATTGAATTGGATGACGTTATATTTGAAGGACCGGCGTCCGATAGTAAAAGTAGGAAACGGATTTTCTCACCGTCTCCATTGTTCCATAGAGTGCCGCAGGGCGGAGTGCTTTCCCCCTTTTATTCCTGATCTATACTTTGGACTTGGCAAGGTCTTCATTATCTCTGCTAACACCAGAGCGCAAATTTATGCTGACGACATTAAGTTGTACGGGTTTTATGATGAAGGGAATTGCGAGGAAGTTCACAGTAATCTCATGAAATCCCTGGAAAGGCTGATGACGTGGGCCTCTGACCTTGACTTGTCTCTTAACCTGAAGAAATGTTTTGTACTTCACATGGGTAAAATAGCCCGTACTGATTACTGCATGATTGGTGTCACGTTGACGAGATGTGGCATTGTGAGGGACCTTGGTGTCATAATTGACACAAGTCTGAATTTCTCTTCCCATAGGGAGCATGTAACCAGTAAAGCATATGCTTCGCTTTTCACCATTTTCAGAAACTTCCGTAGTAATAAGGCCCATATTCTTGTGCGGCTTTATAAATACTATATACTGCCTCACTTGGAATATGCTTCCTAGGTCTGGAACCTCACTCGTAGAAAGGATGTTCAGAGGCTGGAACGTATTCAACACACGTTTACCAGACTAGTTTTCCTTTGGATGAATAACATCCTTTGTGGGCGCAATTTACCTTGTTATGAAGAGAGGTTGCGAAGGCTCGAGTTGAAAACTTTGCGGTATAGAGGGACGTTTTCTGATCTCGTTCTTGGATTTCAGTTACTTCGTAAAGAATTAAAGTTGGCTCCAAGTAAATGCTGGATTTTAGACCCTGCAGTGAAAGATCTGGCGGTTTTAGCTTGCACTATCAAAAGACCCCAAACAGGATTTCTGATCGATTATTCGACTTCTTCTTTCATCGTGTGGCACGATGGTTTCAATGTCTACCCGGTGAGGTTATGAGTGCCCAGAACAGTCAGGTATTCAGGAGTGGGTTAAAAAAATCGATTTGCTTCAAGTCTCTGGTCTTGTTGATGCCCGTTTAAGTCTTACTTCATTGCAGTGTTTGCATTTTTGCTTGCTTCTTTGCTTTTGTCGACATTTATGACCGTCAGCACTGCGTAATGGCCGTTAACGTTACCTACTTCTTCTGCAGTGACAGGTCTTGTTATAGCGGACATGGGGTACTCCACAGAGATCTTTTCCAGGCTTCTGTTTTTAGTTTCTTTGTGCTAGGCACTTGACTTGATGTCGTTTTTATGTTTCTATATATATTTACCAGTCGGGGCGCCCGGCTAACGCCGGGCTTCCCTCCTTCTTATGGGTTCGCCCGGCTACGCCGGGCGCTCCCCCTTCCTGTGAGAAATTTGCTATGCGTAAATAACACTTCGGATTCTCCTTTTTCTTTGAAAGCTGTACACCCTCAGTATTAGCTCCTAGTCATGGGCGATTTTTTCTGTAAGCCATCTTCGCTGTGTCCAAATAGAACATCGCATAACATCACAAATGCAATTACTCAGAGAAAAAAGTATTCAGATACTTCATCGCGGCTGAGTCTACTATATTAGCTACCATCAATGTTCCCAGCCGCCTCCTTGCGTCCTCGAGTTTCAACGGTCTGGGTCCGAATCAATAGTATTTATTCACGCCCAGCCTTTTAGGGCGGAGTTTCGCCTTGCAACCTTCCATCGATGTTCCTATCCTGCCTCCTGTATTCTTTCAAGTTTGGTCGCTCTAGGTCCATTTTGACATTTCTCTGCAAGCCCCGCCCCTGAAGGAGTTATGAATTTCTAGCCAAACT